TTACTGAACCTCTGATGCACTGGCTCCAACCTTGTCTCCTGCTGCATTCCAGCAAACTTCAAAAATTCCACCTGTTCCCCTATAGCTGTGAACTAGAGCACCTGTCTAAAAAAAAAAAAAACAAAAAAACATAATCTTAAAAATAATAACATATACTTTTATAAATCCAAATATTGAGATAAAAATACCATATGGCTTTATTTTTAGCAATAAGAGATACAATTTAGCTTCAACTCCAAAATAAATATGAGCTCTAAGGTGCTAGGAATGTGACATGATTACCTTCTTATAAAAAGATAACACTAGTATGCTCTCAAAAAACCATTCACACACACACTGAGTTTCTCCAATATTGATAACCATTCTCAGCTAAGGTACCCTTGGCCTCTCTGACACAGTTAACATTCTAAAAGTAAACATTCGATGCATGATCTAAAATAAATTGTTGCCATTGTTATTGAAGGATCATGAGTTTGGCCAACACATAAAGAAACAAAATTAAGACAGAATTTCTTTGACAAACATCCTAAGAGGAAGCTTTACAACAAACGAGTAAAGCCAATTCTAGTTTAAGTCTGTTAGTTACTCCATACTTACTGAGTAGCAGCCTAAGCTATAGGAGTTATAAAAAAAGCTAAAAGAATAAATATATGTACATTATTCTTGAAAGATATAAAAATTTTAAAATGTATAATGAGAAACACAATTTCATCATCAATTTAGCTGAATTATAACTAAATTATTTTATTCCTTCAGCAATGGAAACGAAAATCATTCAGCTGCCACTGAATAATTAAAGCTCAATACAAAAACGGATTCTCCTAAGAAACCAGTCATTAAACAAGGTAAAGGTCAGAGGTTCTGCTGTGAGAAACTGGAAAACAATGAAAAATGTTTCCGGTGTTCTGCCGTGAAAACCCAGGAAAGTGTCTCTTACTTTGAAAGCTATCTAACAGGCAATCTAGAGGAAGCAGATCCACCTAAAAACAACATAGCAGCAAGACATGTACCTTGTAAATACCTACACAGACAACCAACCCTAAGTTAGTCACTAAGGTGGAAGACTGTCTTCCCTTGCTTTCCTCTTCAAAGTCAGTCTGGTAACACTGTAGATGCACTGTTATAGCTTATTACACTGAGAAGGCTCTACTGGTTTTTGAATTAATTTTTCTAAATTTTTTAAAATTAAAAATTTTTTTCCTACCTAAAATTTCTAACAATTTAAGAGATCAATGAAAAAGTGTGAGCATGGCAGGTCTTGAGTATCTGTGATCAATTAGGAGAGAAAGGAATGGCACCAACAAAATCCAAAATCTGCTAATAAACAGAAAGTAAAATCTATACAACAGTCAACTTTGGGGTTTAAGAAAACAAAAACTGTCTTTCAAATGTACTTACCAATTTCTAAGCTTGAATTAATCTATAATTGATTGGTCAACAAGCCAGAGCTATGACATTAACAAAGGCCAAGTGGTCATCAGCATTGACTCAAATCTGCACATATGTTCGGAATAGACTTCAACAATTGACCTGGCAAATGCTTAAGTAACATATCATCCAAGTAATTAAAGAAAAAAACTAAATGTATATATGACAAAAGGAAGATAACTTTTTTCTGCACCAAAAACTCACTAGATGAATTTTACTATTTTCGAACTTAAAAGAAAAAAGGTAAAATATTTTTGATAGACAATAGCGATACAACAATATGGTATGGATAGTTGCTCAAATGCCCTTAAATACCTAACGGTTAGAATTCTACAGTTCTATACCCAAATTTCATTTAAATTTGTTTTCTCACAATGGAGTATATGAGTGACTGAAAATGTATTCAACAGATGGATTACCTAGAGATTACATCTAAAAGGTCTCTGCTAAGTCAATCACAACAGAAAGATTAAAGTGAAAGGAAAGCCAAAGGGAAATCTAAACTATTAGAACTAATAAGAGAGCACAGAAAGATCGATGGATTCACTACCGATACGCCAAATTCATAATGTTCCAAACACAAGCAACAAGTAAATAAAAAGAATATATTTTTTAAAAAATGCTATTCATGATAACAATAAAATCCATAAAACAGAATAAATTAGGAAAACGGAAGATCTTTATAAAGAAATTATAAAATTTTAATGAAGGGAAAAAAAGACTTAATTAGGGTTGACTTACAAAGTTACAGTTATTAAAACTATGCTAATGATACAGGTATATACAAGTTTATCAATGGAATACAAGAGAATCCATGAATAACTCACATAAGAACTTGGTATACAAAGGAAGTGGTATTATAAAACAGAAGAGGGACAACAAAGAGTCCTGACACAACTGGTTAGCCTCACAAAAAGATAAAAATTAGACCTCTACCTCACACCATTAAAAAGAAATTCCAAGGGAGTTAAAAGTATAAATGAAAAAATAAAATAACCTTTTATATTTTTTTGGGGGTGGACCATTTGAATATATAACTTAATGAAAAATAATACTTGAAAATGATGATTTATGCAAAATAGTCTGACCTACTGTGATGGTCAGCTGCACAGAGAAACAGCCCAAATAACTTACTATGTCTGTACTAGAACCAGCAAAGAGCTTGATCACTGAAGGAGAGAAGTGGGGCGAGTCAAGTGACTGCTATTAATGAAACAATATATGGAGCACAAAAACTAAAACACTGAGAAGGGAAAAAATAAAGCAACAAGCAATTTTCTCCACTTTTAGGAAAGGATCTCTCTATAGCACTGTCCCTAAAAAACTAGTATAATTTTAAGTTTGTTTCTGATAAATCACTGTGTTCAGCCATAAAATCTTATCCTTTAGTACATATTTTTACTGCTCATATATAGCTCTTTCAAAGACAATTCTTTTAGAAAATTATGAAATTATATATCAATAAATGCCTCATATTTTAAACTCATATTTTATGTGCAAAACTGTTAGAAAAAATAAAACAAAAAACTTAAAGTTATTTCTAAATTCTGAAAATATAACCTCAGTTGGTTTTAATCTCTACTTAGCTGTAAATTAAAAAATAGAGTACTCATTTAAAAACTAAGAACTGAATTAATGCCACAAAAGGAAAGACAACCAAAAAGGAAAAGAAATATTCGTATGGGCTAATGCTGCTTACTAAATATAAGACTACTGGACTATTTAAAAAACTCAGACATACCTGTGTGTTCCAGATGTGCACACATTTGTCAAAAGAACCACTTGCCAGATACCTGCCATCAGGACTGAAAGCTACACTGTACACAGGCTCTTGGTGTTTTGTCAAAGTATGGATGCAAATTCCTCGGTCTACATCCCATAATCTAACAGTAGAATCAAAGGATGCACTGACAAGGGAGAAAAAAAATATGATTTTATAAGTAATAAAATACTTTTAGCCTCACCCACAATCTACAATATTCAGCCATTCCTAATAGCTGCTAGCCATGCATTCCTCATGAAAAGCATATCGATATTTGAGAAAAGGGAGCTTAAGGATATCTCCAAGTCCCTGAATTGGAAAATATAAATAAGCTAACTCATTGTATTCTCTGCTCTTTAAATAATTCCTCTATATTGATCCATACTTTTGAACACTGTATTGACTATAAACTATCTTTTTTTTAAACATCGAATAAACATTTTTGCACTGTGCCTCAATTACTTGGGTTTTAATCTATATTTGATATCACCGGCTAATATTTGATACCTCGACCCCTTCATCCTGCTGCCCTCCAAATCCATTTTGACCTGAAATAATAACACAACTCTGTTTAAAAATTCCCATTAAAAAAAACATATTCCTTGCGGGATACGTTCTCATTTCATGAAATCTTCTCTAATTTGCTGTCACATTTATTAGAAGTTTTATTTGGAGAAGACTTATAAAAGGAGCAGTAAAATAGAAATATTACCTTGCTAACATAAGGTTGGCATTTGGATTATTTGTCCCTGGCCCTGTTGGACTCCACTTGATAGTATAAATTTCTTTATTATGTGCTTGCAAATCATGGACACAATTGTCCTGTTTCATACTCCATATCTAATCAAAACAGAAAAAAACATTATATAATTATTTTTCCATACAAAAGGTATATTTAAAATACTATCTTGCCAATTGAAACCATAAGTGGTATAACTATAAACAATGATTAAAGAGATCAAGAGGATATTTGGAAAGAAGTTAAGATGTAGTAGAATATATTTATCTCTCTCTTTAAAATGGCAAATTAGCCGTAAGTCCTTTCCAAATATTCACTGTTGTGAAGCTTCAGGTTTGATTTAACTGCAGTTGTAAGATAACTTCTGATAGCCTCATATGGTATAAACTTTAACATTCAATAAGCTCCTGGGTAATGTTTCTAAAATGTTTAAGGCATTAGTTTTTATGCTGTCCCTTAAATAAATAAAATATCTACTACATTATAAATTACTTTTAAAATTTAAAATCGGAAAATATTTTGCAATGAAGTAAACGGATAAGCAAGTTAAAATAATATGATTCATGTATGACACCAAAACATGAGCAATAAAAGCAAAAAAAAAAAAAGCCAAGTGTAATTATATAGTATTAAAAAGCTTCTGCACAGCAAAGGAAACAATACATTTTGAAAAAGCAACCTATAGAATGGAAGAAAATATCCACAAATGATAAATTCAATTCAATACAGGGTTAATTCCTTTAAAAATATAAGAATCTCCTACAACTCAGCAGCAAAAAAACTAATAACCCAATTTAAAAATGGGCAAAGGACTTGAATAGACATTTCTACAAAGATGACATACAAATGACCAACAGGTATATGAAAAGGTGTTCGATGTCACTAATAATCATCAGAGAAAGGCAAATCAAACTACAATGATGTATCACTTCACACCTGTTGGGATGGCTATTATTAAAAAGAAAACAAAAAATGTTGGTGAGAAGGTGGAGAAATGAGAGCCCTTGCACAATGTCGGTGGGAATGCAGAATGGTGTAGCTGCTGTGAAAAATAGTATGGCGGTTCCTCAAAAAATTAAAAATACAACTATCATATGATCTAGCAACAGCACTTCTGAATATTTATTCAAAAGAACTGACATCAGGATCTCAAGGAGATATCTGTACTCCCCTGTTCACTGCAGTATTATTCATAAAACCCAAGATGTGGAAAACAACCTAACTGTCCACCAACTGATGAACAGGTAAAGAAAATGTGGTATATACATATAATGAAATATTATTCAGCCTTTAAAAAGAAGGAAATCCTGTAATATGTGACAACTGATAAATCTTAAGGACAAATACTCCATGGTTCGATTCATATGAGGTAACTAAAAAGAATCAAACTCACAGAAGCAAAGAAAAGACGCCGAGGAAAGGGGGAAAGGGGAGTTGCTACTCAAGGAATACAGAATTTCAGTTCGAGAGATCTGCTGTACAACATCGTGCCTACAGGTAACAACACTGAACTGTACACTTAAAAATCTGTTAAAAGTAGGCTTCATGTTAAGTGTTCTTTACTATAATAAAAAAAAATTTAAATCATTTATAGAAACCATGAAAAGTAACAAAGCAATAAAGTTAAAATGGCAAGTAGCGAATAAGCCTTTGAGTTGAAAATAGGCCTATCTATATAGATTAAAAATTCATTAGTATTTTTGAGCAAAAATCAGACAAACCTACACTGAGAGTAATTCTGACAAAATCATTCAATAAAGACATGGGGAGAAATCTTGCCAAAAATAAACACCAACCCCAACTGCTGACAAACAAAAATTAGCTGAGCTTCGCACTTCTGCAATGTAACCAATTAGAGATAATGAAGCAATATCATAGGGTTTTTGTATCCTTGGTATTTAAAACTTCATGTAAATAAACTCAAAGGATATGTTTCCAAAACTTATTTCATTTGACCTTTCCACAGCACTGATACTGCTGACCACTCCCATCCACAACCCTCTTGAAATATTCCTC